GATTAGGTCAAGCTCAGTAAGCGGGTCCGCGAGTGCCCACATTCCTTGCAATTGATTCTGAGATGAATTACTGAAGTATATGAATGCATCTGGTGTACACAGATGATTTAGCCTATTAACTAAGGGGTATCCTACACAATAGCACGGCTCGGCTTTCATCATCAGTGAACCAGGCTGCCTCAAGTCGCAGTGGGTCAGTGGGTAAGTCAGTCTTCAGTCATTCAGTCACTAAGTCAGATAGATACCTAGAGGACTATAAAACTGGCCGTGTGGGACCAGCAAAAACTGAATGGTGTCAACAACAGGTGATTCCTACCGGCTTAATAACCGGGAACATTTGTTATTCCCCTCTTTACATTGCAACAGACCCATTGATGAAAAAAAAGTGCATTGCAAGAATTGAAGTACGAACATTATCTAGGATCGAGCAATTTCTTCAGGGTGAAATTATGTCTCACAAATCAGCACGAATTATATTTTACAAACTGTTACCTGTATATTCTGTTGTCTGGCTGCTGAAATTCATGGCAATATTCTCCCCAAAGTCCTTGTTGCTGTGCTTGAACGTATCTGTGCTGGCCAGGTGCTCGGCCCACTGCTGCGCATGCGCGCAAAGGTCATCGCTTAACTTCAGTGTTCCGACGCCATGTTTTTCTCGATATCTGGAATTTGTACATATAAACTTAGTATTGAGAGTGAGAAAAAAATATTTGCTTATCAATCTAGATTCAGGTGGTACGATAAATAAACATTTTAGTGATTTGGACGTTACTTTAACTTAAAGGAATATACAACGTTTGCAAACATCAAAAACCAAAACTACCAAATTACTTTATGAAATTCCTTAAAACCCTAACCCCCTGGGGGTACGCAAAATCATATTGAAATTGGAGGATTCAGGACTGTTAGGGCCAATGGACTGTTAGAAAATAACAGTCTAAAGCATCCTGTATAATCATAGGATCTTGTGTGCTGTCATTTTCAAGAAAAGTGACATTTTTGTATTAATTTCCAACGCTGGAATAAAAAACAGGCCTTCTTTCAAATACTGCCCTCAATTTACCATATTTAGTTATTCCGCACTTATTTACAATCGATTACACACCTACGAACGGGTACAAGCCAGCTAGAACGATTCTCTGATCTTACAATTCCCTGACGTATATAAATTGTTCTGTTTCATCTTCAGTTGGGTCAGGGAAACCAGACTACAGGAACATGATTATTTTTCTTGGTTTTTCCAGCATCTTCGAACACAAAATTTCAAACTAGTCAGTGTAACGATATTTGCTATAAAATATGTTCCCTCAAATCCATCCATTCTGAAAATTACAGCATTAAGGCAAATGTTGCATACTACCTTTAAACCAATCCAGGCACCCTATCACTTCTATCACGAAGGCCCCCTTCAATGTAGAAAGCAATTTAGTATAGGTATAGTTCTGATAATCCGCCACGAGGCAGTGCTTTGTACAATTGCGCATGCGTGCACAATGTTGTAATCTTCAAGTCAGAATAATGATTCACACAAAACTCATTTGTTGGCTGTGACAGTATTGGGTTGTCTAACTCTTATTCTTAACCATGTGCTCTCAAGTCTCATTCCTTTGTCTTAGCCATCATATATGTGTGGGTGTGTGACCTTTCTATACTCCAGTGTGTGTGTGTACTAAACTGAGGTCACGTACAGAGGGCGCTGTGCCATGTGACCATTAACTCTTGTTACACACAATATGGTGTCTTTATTGAAGGAGGCCTCGTGGGTGTGCAGCAATCACGTGTACGGTACGGATTCGCATAATATGAATCGTCGCATTTTGTCTCCACAGAAGCAGTGTTCTTCATGGACTCATCCAACCATGTAAAATTTCACTGTTTTTTCACATAGGCTCTAATTCTTAAGTAGCCCCACGCAAATGGCAGTACCAATTTGCGAAAGACGTTTTGCCTGTAGCACCTCAAAATATAGGATATGAAAGCCCAGTTATTCAAGCTTTATTTTAGTACAATAATCATTTGAATCGCTTATGTTCTTTTCAAGTTATGGAATTTTGAATATAAAGACCGTTTTAAACTTCTGTCCACGGATCACACAAAAAGTAAGTGTTTCTTCAGCAAATCGAAAACAATTCTCACAGGGATGAAGGCCTATGTGAAGTTATTTTTGTTAAGATTGGTATTACAGCAAGCAGCTGGATTTTATTGATCAGGAAATGTCCTTTCAACTATTCGAATTCAAACTCGATGTCTTAAAAGTAAAACTATAGGTGTATCAGAGAACATCTTAAATTAAAAAAGGAGAACATTGTTAAAACAAGAGAAGAAACAGTTTGGTACCTGTTGTGTGCGGACAGCGCATCTTTCTGGAATGTGGAGAGCTTTTCCTTTCCTGTTAAAAATATAAGATTCAATAAATAAAATCTGAAATGAAACTAATGTGAACAATTAACACACCCCCTCCCCCCTCTAAAAAAAAACAGTCGGAAGTCACCAGAAGCACTTTTGAGTTAAATGTGTTGCTTTATGGCTTGAACAAAAATTACAGCAGGTTTGGAACACCTCTTTCTTCTTTACTGTACAACAATATGAAGGCAACATTTCATAAAATGCAAATGAGGCCAAAGTATGAAAATTTAATCATTAATCATGCCCAGATCCACTCATTATCATTGACCATTCCAAAATACAGTCGATTCAATACGATGTCATCGACAACCATGGATATCTTCAGCTTCTTTGGCCGACTTCAGACAGGAGTTATTGTCCGAAATGTGTCACCTTCCCCGAAGAGGAAGGGTACTCAAAAAGATGCGTGTTGCAAGTAAACTCAAATTTACAATTCGCTGTCAAAAGGTCCCTTTGTCACAACAGACACAAACTCACAGATTGAAGCAACCTCGTTAAATTGAACAAGCGTTCCATGGAACGCGGTGCTACGAGGCTGCACGATTGAAATGCACTGTTTGAAGGCTTGTTTAATCAAACTCTTGCTGGTTGTGGTGTATTAATGGTTGAGCTAGGTACAACTTCCGGACAATTTGGTAGATCGTTTTATTTTAACCCGATGCACTTAAGGCCGAATTAAAATCAAGGAGCATTTATTTTGTCTGCAAATGATTACTAAACCGTAGAAACCATGTAGCTAATAAGAGGTGGGCCGAGAGGGGTCGGGACTTCCACCCAGTGGCATATGCAGGACTACAAGTACTAAATACATCACATCGGCGATGGGAGACTTTTGAGTCGTTGGTGGCAGCAAATACACCGGTCCTTTTCAATTGCTTGCGTCATTTATAAGCTAAAGCGCGCATGCCCAATATGACGCAAACAATGGGAAAAGGACGATGTGTTTGCTGCCACCAACGTCTCAAAAGTCTCCCATTGTTTCCTGTCACTGAACTGTTTTCCTGCATAACCTAGACGAATTTCAAATTGGAATTGAAGCCGAAGCACTCGATGCTATAAAGCCATTGTATGACATTGGGAACCTTTTCTTTTTAAATCCTCTCAACAACAGACAGCACTGGAAACTAAAGTTTCAGTGACAATTTAAAATCTGTCAAAAGGTCAACAATAATTACTCTCCTATTGCTATTACTCTTAAGGTATATGCCACACACTCCGCCAAGCGAAAAATCAGCATTGGTTGCCTAGCAACTGACCTTTCAGTTTAAACCATATATTGCCCGAAGCGTTTACACTTATATAATCCATATGGTCCAGAAATTAACATATCATGCCATGCACGTCAATTCTGAAACTGATAAATTAGTAAATGAGTAAATTGTTATAAAATATGCATTGAGTTCTAGGGGTTAACGTCCAATGTTCAACGTTGCTGATACGACATGCAAGTGCAAACGGAACCCTATATTTTGCCACGCCCGTTTACAAGAATGTGCTCGTAGGTCTTGAAAACCAGACTAGACGACTCCGCCAGCATTTATGCTCCTTGAAAACAGACTAGGCTCATATACTATACAGAAACGGAATAGCCGAATATTAGTGTTCAACATAGTGCAGTCAGCCTGTTGCCCAAATATGAGCTAACACAAAAGTTGTTGCAATGTTGAGCAACGTTGCAAGAACATTTCTATATGGATTTTAATTCATTGCAATGTTGACCATCGTTGGTTCAACGTACTTCCCAAGCAGAAGATTTGACGATCGTCTAAAAGTGACATTTAGGAAGTTTGACAATGAAAATAATACAATATAATTATTAACATATCCTGATGTTGTAAAAATGCTTCCGACAAACGTCGCTACATTGTTTATTGTTGGTAGTCAGAAGAAAAACAAATGTTTCGCGTAGGCCTGTGGCATTGAACAACGCTAAATGTGCTGGTATAGTACAAATAGTAAAGATTAAGGATAACCTTTGCCTGTCTGGTGGTTTAATAATCCATTGATATGTTGGCATGTTGGTTCTATTCTCTCGTTACAAAAATCCCTAAATTTGACGTGTATAGTCTGTGATATTCGTGCAAATTATGCAAAAACATATCTGCGTCTTGTTCTCCAGATTTTGACCATTCAGCGGGTGCCTTCGGTCTTGTCTTTGGTAGCCCAATGTTGTATCACAACAGTATTACGGCTACTGACCAATCAACAGCTCTGGCCGAATTTCTGCGCTGAACGACGTCACAACTTCTACAGGCGGCTCTGGTTGGCCGACGCGGGGGTCGCAAAAAAAAATACATTTGCACGTAATCAAATGTTTATAGTGTGGCTCTGCACACGTAAACGTCTGATTCTCAGACCGACATGACGAACCCCACACCAAAAAATTTAACCATTTGTTGAACTATCATAAACATTGCCATGAAATTGTCCTTGTCGGGAATCCGAGTTTTAAGTATACCAGCAAATTTACTCATGAAAAGGAAAACAAATGATATAGCAATATATGCTCCCGGATGCCCGCAAGTGTAACATCTACATAATTATTAAACATTATGGGTTGGTTTGAAGGCAAAAACTATAAAATAAACACACGTGTACACTCTAAAAACTCCTGGGTCAGGTTGACCTTGATATGAGTCTATATCTGAACAGTCCTTTTCAGGGTAAAAAAAAAGACACTTTTTAAGTCGAAAAAGGTCCAGAAAAAAAACGTCATTTTGACAGGGAAAAGTTTCATTTTACCCAGGAAAGTGTCATTTTTGAACTGGAATAGGACTGTGCAGATATAGACTCAGATTTTCGGTCAATTCTGACCCAGGAGGTTTTTTTTAGAGTGTACAGTGTAGTGGGCTAGTATAAATATACAGATGTTGCTACCCAACCAGCAAGTGTGCGACAGTTTTATGTAGAGCATGCACAGTGCAGGATGGGACAGTTCTAGGTCAACCCTAAACTGTTTTTGGTGTTTCTTATTTCCCAGTCTATTTTGATAATAAAGTTTATTGAGATTGTATACCATCACACGCACACAAAGGATGAAAGCAGAGGCAAGTGTCAATCCAGACAAGCAAGACTAATATTGGTGGGAGTTCGACCACGCCCCCGCTCGGGCAAGGGACTTTAAACGAGCTTTTTTTAATCTCTTGCAGAGTTAAAACAAGTCTCAATAGAGGAATTTCAAATTGGCACGGAAGCCGAGGGCCTCAACTGCACTGTCTTTTGTTGAAAGGATTGGAAAAAAATATATATCCTCAATTACTATATTCGTCTATTGAATATCTGATGAATACAGACCAGTAAGTGGCAGAGGGGTCTTAAAAATGTGGCTGTGCTTAAAATTCCTTAAAACTTGAAAAGCACATAAGTGATTTGACTGATTCTTGTACTAAAAGTAAGCTTATTAATTTAGCTTTCATTTTCTAGATTTATGTAGTGCTACATGCAGAATTTTTTTTTTTAATTAGTCCTGCCACTTTGGTCTCCCTTTTGTTTTACTCACCCTGTAGAGTAAGCCTACTTACACTACTACATTTATTATCATCATTCAAAATTTGTCCAGTTGCAATAAATATAGATTGAATAACAACTTCCAGTGTGGAGAACCTAAATTCGCAACTGTGCATCGAATTAAAAGCTGTGTGTGGTTTTGTAGACTGACGGTGATCCCCGACTAATTTGTGTAATTGAGTGATTCAGCATGAAAAGTAACCTCTCAATTATCCAGAATTGCCCAAAGGACCGTGTGTTCGATGTTTGATATAACACATGTTATCTTTGCCTCCGCTGCATAATTTACAATGCATTATTATTTTTAGGTGGACAAATCAATGAGGTTGGTGATAGTTTACAAAGCGTATTCCTTTGGGAATAGCAAGCAGGCTTATCGTGTACTAGATAGGCGCAATAGAACATGCTGAACCTTACATCCAACCGTTTGGAATTGAATGCACTTGTATATTTCTGAAAATACACAACTCCCGCGTCTGCCTAATATGATTCAAATATGCTTACCCCAGCTACATGAATTTCCAAACGGTATAGCAAAAACTTTGTTCACCTCTCAATGTATTACTTAATGTGAACATATTAATGAGGTTGGTTTATAGTTACAGAGCGTATATTCCTTTGGGAATCGCAAGCAGGCTCATCGTGTACTAGACGGGCGAAAATGGAACATGCTGAACCATACATCCAACCGTTTTGAATTAGAATCATTTTGGATATTTCTGAAAAACGCACAACTCCCGCATCTACCTAATGAGATTCAAAATATGCTAACCCCGGCTAACTGTATTTCAAAACGGTACAAAATGCGTTCACCTCGCAATTTATAAACATCGATGAAATGCGCAATTTTATTCACACACTTACTGAGAAATTAAGAACCCAGATCTGTTTTATGCAATATGCAATATTGTCTAATTGAAGAATGTACATTAACAGCAATGGTATATGACTGAAGATTGAAACGGTCGGATGATTGAAGAGTCCCCATACCTCACAACCCTTTATTTCGTTCTGGATTGGTCAGGGTACTGCAGGTGCGGATCCATGGGGGTGGTTAGGGGGTCAAGAGGGTCAACCCCCAGCTCCGTCAATTTTTGTCCATAGAAATTTATTAAAAATATTGCGACCCTCCCTGCTCTCTGACACCCAAAAAAGATTTTGCTATTAATAACGTCCAGCTTGGTTAGGGGGTGGGGGGGGGTGGGGGATTTGTACGCTATTCTGTAATATAGTGTTAATAATCATCGCATTTGAACAGCGCCCCCATTGAAAGTATGGTACGAGCCCCCCCCCCCCACCCCCCCCCCCCACCCCCCCCCCCCCCCCCCCCCCCCACACACACACACACACACACCGGATGCCAGGTGTCCGGATAATAAAACATGTCTACATTTCAGATTGCTTTGCTGATGAACCCCCTCCTCTCCCTGCAAAAATTCCTGGATCCGCCCCTGTACTGAATTTATATTTAAATATAATTCAAATATAGATGCTGAGAAAAAAATCAGGTGGGTACCGGTATAAAAAAATAATGATTCAATCATTCATTCAGTCATCCATTTCAGTTTAGCTTGTGAGGTTTATTTATTAATTCATATTGATTTTGTTTACCTATTTTTGCTGCTGTTTTGCTTGTATACAATTATGTATAGGCCTAGTGCCTTGAGCACCTCACGGTGGATATGTTTGCGCTTTATAAATGTCCAATATTATTATTATTATTATTATTAGCTCTCAGTTGCATTCAACAGCTGTTGAGCCGACATGGAGAGTCAGTCCAACCATGGTCAACTCTAACGCGCAACATAAAAATCATTTGATGTGTTCGATGGTTACCTATTTTGCTGCATGCGAGGAAACTTTCTAAGGCCTACTTAGCAACTTTATGTGCTTACAATATTTATTCTCCGTAAAAAGCCATAGACAACCGGAGCATGGGACACCAGACTCTGGACACAAAAATGAATTTCAATTCTATGCAATCATTGCAGTGTACCATTTGACCACGTGATATTAAAAGTCATTCTGTGTCCAAATATGAGAGTGAATAACAATATTGCATGTGTTTCGTTTAACACTCGGGCACTGGGAAATTGTCACCAAAGGCATGTTTAAACGCTAATAGCGCCTACTACACAAACCCATCAATGCAGCTTATTAATAATGGATAAATCGTGAGGCAGGAGCATAATTTTTTTTTTAAATCGTTAAGAGAACATCATCACAGTCTTGTTGCGTAACACCAAGGTCTTTGGACAATGGCTCATGAGAGGTGGTTCACGAATGGCTGATCAATTTAGTGAAACACGTACACAGTGTACAGCACCGAGTATATTTGTCTATACTAATGAATAGGTTTCGGTTTGAGCAAAATAGCGGCTACATAATGATTCAAAAGGGGGGAAAATACAACAGCATCAATTGTACTTCCACGTGGATCATTCTATAAAATTGAGGTACATAATTGTCCTGCCCCTGTTGCATTTCGCATCTAGGATTTTAATAATGGTATATACAGCCTGTCCCCCAAAAAATGCTGCAAGCAAAATCAGGCTCTGTGTCCTTGGAATATTAAAAAAAAAAAAGAATATAATGCTTATATAATGTTAAACCTGGGATATTCAGCTTTCAAATGTTATTTGTTTTATAAATTTTGCTTTTGCCAAACCAGAGATATGGTCCGTTGAACACAAACACTCAAAAATCAATTTGTGCCACTTTCCGTAAGTTGATACTATAAACACCAGTATTGCCAGTATTATACACGTGTATGATCGTGCAGAAAAACAATAAGTAATGAATAGGTGAAGAAACACTTTTGCTATTCATATTATAATTTTCTGTTCATTATTTGTAAAACACTCTCCAAATCATCATAATAAACACATATCTTCTGGAATTGCGAACCTAAATTGAAGTCGGATTTGAACAGGTGCCATGTCTTGTCATGTCATTATTAGGCCTAACAATGTAGAAAGCGGCACAAATTGATTTTGTGAGTGTTTGTGTTCAACGGACCATATCTCTGGTTTGGCAAAAGAAAATAAAATTGATAAAACAAGTAGCATTTGAAAGCTGAATATCCCAGGTTTAACATTATATAAGCATCATGAAATATTTTTCAATATTCCAAGGACACAGAGCCCGTTTCTGCTTGCAGCATTTGGAGGGGGGGGGGCAGGCTGTATGCAGTCCTTCATGCAGTTGTCATCCGATGGTGAATATGATAAGCAAATACTACCTCCCAAATAAAAAATCGTTTGAGGTCAATTGCAATGACAATAGAATCCCAAATTCCAAAGTTCAGTGGTGACAGGTTCAGGGAAAAGGTCACACTTGAGCCTTAAATGTATAGAATGACCATAAGGCGTTCAAACTTTGAACGTTAATATTATCCAAATATGAAGTATTATAATTTTGGTCACTGCTGCTTTTATCAAATAGAGTTAATACGATTCAATATTAATTTTTCCAGACTAATTGTCTCTGTCGTATTATCTTCATATTTATATTGACAGGTTCAAAGTATAGATGAATATTAGTTTATATTGTTCCCGTATAAAGAAATGCGATTACTGAGCCTACTGTACTGCACGGGGTGACCTAAGCCAATTCTCATTATCATAAAATAGCAGCAGAATAGATTGGTTGTTTCATTTTAAGCAGAGCCACGAAATTACCAGCAACCACTTTATGAGTGTATTTTGTGTGTAGTCATACTGAATGCTAATTGTGAATTATGCTTTTATGGACCCAAATTAAATGAAATAATTAAGAACACAAATGACTTCAATTATTTAAAGAACTGAACATCTAAATTAATGGATGGCTTTTATTTTAAATTTTCACACATTTTGCACCTTTAACGTGGCAACGGAATTGAAAATGCAAGTGGCCTTGTCGGTTCGTAATTCATCATGGAGAATCATGTATTTCCTGGTATTGTTTCAATTCCTAATATCAGTGAGGCATGCACGCACGCAATGACATTAATGGGTCAATAATTACCTCGCCAACACGAGTAATATAGGGACACAAACTGTGCATTTGCTACGAATGAAGACGAGAACATGAAATTTCATGACGATCTGCATCTAAATATTTAAACAGATTGTAAATACAGATCCATACGGGGGCGGGGCAGTTGAGGAAGAAATGGGACGGACTAGTGCTTCAACTGAGAGAAACCACGAAATTTAAATACATCACAGACTTCCCGGTTTTTATGTATTTCTTTAATTATTAAATTAAGTTATAAATAATCAGTGAAGCAAAATCATATCCTAACTTTATTTTGACCGTCGTGCAGTTCGACATGGATCAAAGACATCAGTACAATATATTTTCAAATCATATAAATTGCCTGATGTTGAAATGCAAAACAGTATTTCCAGTAGGTCAATACGCCTCTACCTGAATAAACAAAGCCATCTCCACAATTCCGCATGCAATCAAACCATGACTGCAATAGAATAACTAGAGTATATCAATCTATAGCACCCTAGTGTAAAATAGCAAAGAGTCTGTCATTTATTCTCCGATTTCTCGGGAGGAGAACATTCCGAATTGTAAACACCTTACCTCCGCGATCCATTGTCTCCATTGTTCACACGACGATGCCACACATCAGACTGATATTATACCTGAACTCCTATGTACTGTTGCAGCAGCGTATTTATGATACTGAATAATATATGCGCGCCGTAGACGCGTACCGTGCGGGTGCGGGCATATAGCTTGATAGACTTGATTCACGAGTCGGCTATATAAAAGGGTTCATGACATGCATTTTACTTTGGAACATATTTTGTGCACCTCGCTATTCCTCTTACATGTATGGAACCCACTTGACATCCCTTTTTGGTTAATTGTTAGCAGGCGCGGTTCTAGAGCCATATTTTTTTTTTTTTTTGGGGGGGGGGCTAGCAAGGTGGATCCAGAATTTGTTTCAGGGAGGCGTGCTGAAATGTAGACAGGTAATATTTTCTCCGGACACTTAGGCCTTTGAAAATCAATACGTGGGGGGGGGGGGGGGGGGGGGGGGCTCGTGCCATATTTTCAATGGGGAGCGCTGATAAAATCCTACAATCAGGCACACTATATATTAACTAAAAGTGTACAAATGCACCTTCTCATTTAGGGGGAGACCGTTCCCATGTACGTCAAATTCTTACATTTTGCTAGTGCATTTTTTTTTATGGAATTTTTTTGGGGGGGGCTAGAAAAAATTGGGGGGGGGGCTAAGCTAAAGCCCCCCCCCCGGCCCCCCCCCCCCCATAAAACCGCCACTGATTGTTAGTGAAAATGCACTTCTATAATCATTCAATATTTTCCATGTTGTTGTTGTTGTTGTTTTTAAATAAGGGCGTTGTGCTATCATGTCATTTCAGGAAGACACTGTTCAAAATATAGTTTTTCTGTTCACCTTGCGAACTCAATATTTGCTCATTGAACAAATTTTGGAGAAAAATTTGCTCATTGGCCTACTGGTATGTACTGGAACAACGACGAATCACCAAAGAAACGAAAATTTACAACAGCAACTTTATCCAAAATTCTGGCAAATGTTGGTGCTGAAATAGCTGTAACTTTGAGGTTTCTGCCTAAAATGACATCACATTTTTGCTCATAATATGCAAATTTGCATTAGCATAAAATCCAAAAAGGCACCGGAATGCCATTAAAAATGGCAAAATGAAAATTCAAAGTAAGGTTTCCTTAATAGTAGCACTACTTGTACTCGTAATCGCAGTCGTGGTAAGGTATACTCGTACTCGACTGCTATCTTCATCTTCACCACCACCATCAATGTTATAGCTATTATCAGCACCTGTACGGTATCAGTACCACATGTTGCATGACAAGGTTCATCGTGTACACGTCAAAATAATTCTGAAACTATCTTTTGTTCATAATTATTTCAACAAGGCCTGTTTTGTGAATGTATACCTTTGTTGTAATTATTTCGTGGCAGCAATGAAAGCAAAGTGTATGAAGAGTTATGTACAAAGCAGTAATTAAGGAGTATGATAGTATCAACAGCGTATATTATATTGAACATGTCATAACAATGAACACCGGGTACAATAATAAAAGAAAGCTTCGGTTTTACAAAGATATGAATGTAACTTATCGGTTAGCACTGAAAACAATTTGAATGTACATAAATTTGAAAATACTACTTGTCGTCTAACGTAGGGCGACAATCTCAACCAGACATCAAACAGCAGTTGGGATGTAACTCGATGCAACATGCATCTGGATTTGTTTATGTTTTTCCTATATTTCACCTGATGTACGCAGAATATTCAAATTATTATTGTGTACCGATTTCAGTTAGATTTGCAATATTTGATATTATAATTATAACTGATATGATGCATTGGAGAGCTGGCTACATTTAAATGCTAATGAGATACAATTCATAGCGCTGGTCAATAACACAACACGTGTTCTGGCTGGAAAGGGCGCTTCTGGAATAAGTCATGCACGACCTGTCTGCTAAAAATGCAAATTTTAATTGCCTAATTATTACAAAGCATGGTTGGTTTTGAGCGATAGGCTTGCCTCTTGGTCGGTCACGCTCTTTAACCACAGACATACCCGCCTTTTTAACTATAATGGAGGTCGCGACGGACTGATACGCAGTGGCCGGCTTGCTGCCTCTCTGCAGCGCCCTCTTTCGTCACACGTCTTGGTGCTCCATAGGGATGCAGACCAGTAAATAAACTGCCATAGACCCAAATGCTAAAATTTGCCCCCACTTCAGAAATTCAGGACAAAAACTCACAACTCTCCAAGGTGCTCGAGACTCGTATCAAATGAAAGCTTATTTCATGGTCTTCTATTTTCTTTTCAATTGTTTTGGGGTAATCTAATCTGATGACCTTTGGCAGAAATTTCCATCAGAAGATTATCATCCCTTAAAATAGTCCTGACGGCAGGGTTTGAAATTAGCGGGAGCCCGCTAGTCAAATGCTAGTCAAAACAACGGCGGGCAAGTCAAACTATTCCTTACGTAGCCCGGCTGGCGAGTCCAAAATTATTGGGATACGGCAAAGATGAAAAAAAAAACCGGAAGAAATAAATCATGACATTCAGAAATCACATCCATCAATTTGTGTATAATTTTATCAACTGTTTTAACGGGTTAAGTTATAAGATCTGTTTATAAATAATACTGACAAAATTGCCTCAGAATAGATGAGAAATCAGTTGGAAATGGGTAAAAGCGAATTTTACCTACGACCTATTTTCGTCTCCTTGTTCGATCACGTCGGTTTTCACCATGGACATAGAATAAATTAAGTTCTATATCTATGGTTTTCACATCGCGTACTTGCGTGAGAACGAAATGATAACGACGCGAAGATTTTAATACCTACCTACATCTGATGGATTCTAGATTTCATTTGGATCACGGTTTGATACTATTATTAAAATCATTTCATGAATATTCATGCTTAAACGAGTGATTGAGTTCCACGAGTCCACACGGGAGTTTTCGTTTCGGAAGTGACAGGTCCATTTATGGCAGGATATTTCTCTTTCTCATCATGCAATTTTTCAGTTTCAATAAAATTCCTCCGGTTTTTTTTTTTTAAAGAAATCAATATACCAAATTAATTTTAAAAACTCTGACTTTTACACGTTAATTATTCTTTCGAGGGGCCCTGATGCGCCACCGGCAGGCCCTAGGCACCAGTGTTCCGAAGAATGGAGAAGGAAGGTGAAAGGAAGGGAGAATAAGAACAAAGTGGAGAATGTATAAATTATAAACACCGCTGCTCACAACTCCGCGAAGCTAAAATCCGGTTCTGAAAACCTTGTCAAAAGATTGTACATTCTGTCATGTCGGCACAAGCTGCCGCGCGAAGTCGCTTCATATACGGGGGGTTGACAGCTGCAGCTGTGCATATTCAAAAAATGAAAATATAGGATTTAAAGACCCCCCCCCCCCCTGCAGTCTGGGATTAGGGAACATTTGCGACAATGAAATAAAAACATTATAGCTGGACTGAATTTTGTATTTTTGAACAATTTTAAAACTTGATATCGAACGATTACAGTACAAGCTCTCAATATAACAAATTAATCATTCTTGCAATTGTCCTCCGATAGAAAAGAAAGAAAATAAAACAAAAAGTTATGTGGCGATGGCCAAGTCTTCAGGAGTCGGACTTATGACCCTAACTCAATGAGCCCCTTACCGACTTCCATATAGAACTCTTCTGGGACTCGGTACCCGGCCCACCACACCTCCTTCCCTGTCCATCCATGTAACTCGAAAGTCAGGCACCATAAAGGGAGGAAACGAGGTGGCACCCTAAGCCTTGCTGCCGAGTCAGCAAAAGAACCCCGTACCTATACGCAGACGCCAACCTGGACTTCGCGGACAGTCCCAACTTGTGAGTCAGCTTACCGACCGACCGAGCTAACTGCTGTTGGTAAATGACGACGGGAAATTAATACTCTTAAATGACAGAACTGCGGGCATCGAAAACCACAAAAATGACACCAAGCGGGTTCGAACCCCTAACCCTGGGTTTGCTGTCAGACAGCTTAACAACTAGGCTGTTTCAGTATCTTTCCGTTAAACTATAATCCTTATTTCCGCAGTGGGAGAGTTACTTTGTGTTTCATATGTGCACGAAAGATGCATCAGCATCGCGCTATACACATGAACGCTGTTACGTAACTCTTTTCTACAATCATTCTTATGTACCGATCAGTTGACTATTCAGCGTCACTACGAGCAATTAACCTTACCAAGCTCGTCCTTATTCTGTCTCATCAATTATTGCTTCGCGTTGCGCGTCTTTCGGCCGGCACTGACATGTCGCTATGATTGAGAGAAATTCTAGCAAGTGTCCCCTACCCCATTATATCAAACTACTGACCCGTTTACAATTTTTTTATGAGGGAATTTCGTTTGTCTGATTCTAATATAGCTCCCTTAGCTAGCTTGGGAAAATTCATCTGTTCTTGTTCATATAGGGAATGATTCCATTATAATACAATGTCACATTAACGGCCGGTGGCATGATTAGAATCGTGACCACGCGAGTGCAATGACGGCCAATGGCGTATAATTTTATCTGTGCTGGCAAGGGGGGATGGGGATGACCAAAATCATAAAATTCCGGCGATTCACAATGCAGTGCGTGGACAAAACAAGGCCCATTTGAATGAGTGTCATCAAACAACTTCAGCTAAGTGGTTATAACTTCGGGAGGGTGTTCTTCCGCCTTACTAAAACACCATATTGATACAAAGAAAGGAAAAAGGCAAATTTATACTCGAATCATACGCTTACGAAACTACTGACCGGAAAAAAAACTAACAAATTCAACTGTCCCGCGCTGCGAATTTGTCGACCATCTCCCACAATGCACTGAGAAAAATGAACTCTCCCTGGCAAACTCTTGGTGGCACATGAAACGCCTGCATTGCCCGGCCGTGGACATTCGAAAAAGGGGGGGGGGGGGGGGCTGGTCACCATATTCTACTGTGACGCTCTTCATCAAGTATGTATACTCTCGCTTACATTTTTAGAAGTTTTTGTGCTTTGTTTCTCCACTTTCCAGTTCTATTGAATACATTTTAGTTGATGGGAAGTTCGGAAAAAAGGTGGGGGATGATTCAATAGCCCATCCCACGATCAAAAAGTGTTGGGATTATATATACCCCTTACGCCCCTGATGACGGCGCAAGGAGCCAACGAGCCTGCCACTCGCATGGTCTTTTTTTCGTGTCCGGGTTGCTATACGCCTTGACTCAAGCCTACGGTCATGAAAAGGCCTTTGAGATGAAACAAAACAAATCCATGAACCTTTGGCGACTGAACGATCTAAATTGGGCTTGTACTGTGTACTTAACAAGCGTATCTTTGACTCCCCCCTCGCCTCGAGAATTCTAAATCACAACGGTAATGTTTGCGCGCAACCAGCCTGTTGTAAAAATGGCGATAGGCCTGGCCACGATGGAATGTGCACTTTTGGAGGTGATGAGCTTCGACTTTTGCTGAATTTGAAAGTATCCGTGGCAACTATCAATAAAGAGAAAAATGTTAATTGCGGTTTATGATCGTGAGTGCTAAAAGTACGTGCAATGTGTCACTATAGGAATGCGTGTGAGCCGTCATCGAGAAAGTGGGCCTGACCCGGGGAGATGACGTCACACTTTCTCAGCGAATGTGGATTTGTCGTGACTAGACTCGATTAGTGAAATAATCAAAAGCACTTTATCTTTTACATTCTCACAAACGAATTTGCACCTTTAACCGGGTACCGAAACGAAAAAACAAAGATTCGAGGGAACATACATAATATAGGGAAAATCATTGAATCTCATGTTTTTAAGGTGTAGGCCTACGCCTTTTAATTGCAATATTAAGATGGAGCTTAGGTGACGTCACGGGTGTAGACCTACATATTGACTCCCTAAAACCGCAATGATGATTGCGTGTACGTCTAAAAATGGTCACAACTCTCCAATGTGTTCGAGACACCCATCAAATTAACCCTAAAAGGGCCTGGCCCGGGTTAATTTTATACCATCTCTCAGCCGGGGGGAATCCCCCCCCCCAAGATCTCGGCCATCGGGTGAGGAAAAATTATGAAACTCAGTACATACAAAGAGCAACTTATCATACGCATACTCAACAAATTTCATGACTATAGGTCAAAGGGTTTTGGAATTATGGCTAATTAATTATTCATCTGTGCAAACAGTAATTCTGCTCCGTGTACACGATGTATATGGGAAAATTCAGTTTTCACGGCGCCTAGCGCCGGTATTTTTTTCGGGTTAAAGCTTATTTCATCATCGTTCATTTTCTGTTCAATTTTAAGGTGGTTAGTCCTATGACTTTTGGGAGAAATTCCATCCGAAGATGATCACCCTTTAGAGCAGTCCCAATCCTGTGACCCATCGCCATTTTGAAATATGATGCATGCACTCGATTGCAAAATAGAGCAAATTTAAATGTATGTGGCTCTTCGTGAAAACGCAAACTGCAATTATCGAGATTACTGCCCCTTGCAACATTAATGTAACTTGGAAATTAATGATGTTTTGCTTAAAAAACATTACAGTACATTGTTTTAATGCAAAATATTGAAACAAATCAAAATCGAAAAACAAATGGTAATTTTTGACAAATGTGGCCCTTCGTGAAAACGGTGACGAAATATACGAGCTCGCATCCCTGTGCACGGCCTCCACCCATCCTTTTTACAAACCTTCAAGTTCATGGTCTACAAAATGCTCAACTAGCAAAGAAATCGAGGGCATACACATTGTGATTTGGCAATTATGGGCCTGTTCAGAGATCTGCACCCTTACGGATGAGCGGGAATGGAAGTGCGCCCTCTTTCGAAAATGTTACCTTTACTTTGTCGCAATGTTTATTTTGATCAGGTGTCGATCGACATATCGGTAAGAAAAACCTTTGAAACATCCGCTAACCTATTTCCGATCATAATGTATTAAATAAAGCGGAATGAAAAGACAGTGTGACAAACAAACATAAGTAAAAATACCGACATTTATCTCTTTGCACTCAAGAGATCAAACATAAGAATGAAAAAAGAACAAGAAAGTTAAGTCGTAAACGCCAGAAGTCAACATTATAAGTCATTGTGACTTTTCCATTAACAATTTAATCAGTACGTTTCCACGGTAACAGGCCAGTGACATACATTTAAAACGTGCAAATATATAAATAGATTTCTGTCTCTCCATCCCAAAAATACAATAAATTATATACAACCATTTATCAGTATATAGGAGTGCAAAATAGAAATAGGTGGAATTTGTATCACAATACATTAAATTATTATTGAAGATAACAGAGAGCATTAAAGCGCACTTAATAGTAATGCCTTCAGGCGAATCAGGAACTCAGAACAAAGTCACAGCAGTGAAAGGCAGAATGCGGCACGCAAGCTCAGACTCGACCAAAACTGAGCCATTGCTTCAACGTTCATTGTACACCGTAACTGTAAAAAAAAAAAAAAAAAAGTTGGAGTGAAGCTCACCACCCCCTTTCCCCAACCGCGATTTTTTTCTTAAGCAATCCAGCCACAATCTTTATTCAGCCCAAACATGCAGTGATAATGTGCACAAAATTATGCAATTTATGACAAATGCCATACACCGGAAGAAGGTTGCACTTTTGTATACGTGCAAGGTGACTGTGAACCACAACTTGCACGTATACAAAAGTGCAACTGTTTTTGGTATCATTTGTTATAAATTGCGTAATTTCGTACACATTATCGCTGTTTTGGGACGAATAAAGAGTATGCCTGGATTGCTAAGGAATTTCTGTACTGATTAGTCGTTATTTGAGCGAGAGGTGCACTGTAGTTTTTGAGTTAGACAAAAAAGTGTTGGAAGGGGGACTTTCTTTTTGGTTGAGTGTAGTTGGTGGATCTAGATGGCTGAACCAGTTTCAACTTTTCGGATCGTTTTGCATGAACGCTTGGCGGTAGTTTTGATCATCTTACAGTAGATCGAACGGAAAAGCGTGTTTGGTCGAATCAATCCCACAATGCAATGCAAGACCGCGACAGCAAGGTCTTGCAAATGGCGGACATGAACAACTGGGAAAATGGCGCAATCACGATTCCAACGTCCAAGACATGCCCGATATGGTAGACTTATACATTGCCTGTTCTATCTACTTCGTTGCAGCCTCGTTCGCCTGTAGCTTCCTAGTTATCTAGTTACCGAAAAACCATCTGGTAAATTGTTTTGTTTCCGTAGTAAATAAAGGTCCGTCTTTTATCTGAAATCCATGCCTATAACATCTTCCGTACACAATTTCATTTCACTATTTAGTAAATTATTTACAACAGTGTGCGGGTTATTTAGTGGTTTCGTATTTTCCAAAAGCAGAAAAACTCTACAATATAATGAAACTTTGAGGTGATTTAACAGACCATACAGAATCGTGTAAGCATTGCACATACAAAAAACGAAAACAACAGGTTATACAAAATAATATATTTATACAATACATGATTATACGACTTTCAAATCTTTGGACAACAAATTTTACTGGAGGTATTGTTAATGATTAGGGTTGGAATTTTCAAAAAGGTGTTGTAAAAAAAGTCAGTTCATTGATAGAAACTTGACCGTTTTGGATATAAATGCAACTATTTGAAATTGTCATTTTCTCTTTTCTTTACAATTACACAAAGATTACAATCATCTTATCATGGAGCATTAAGTATGTAAAACTGTTTAGAAACAAATTTATGGTTTGTTTCACTAACGATTGACATCATCATTCATAACAAACCTGTTGGGTGAATGTGACGATTTGGAACGATTAAAGTTGGTCAGTTACCGTGTTTAACAGGTATCACAATTATGATTGCACACTGACGCATTCATTAACCACTACAATAGAAATAAGCGAACGGTGAAGTACGTATCTCAACGTGGGTTTTGAGGTAATGGCAAGTTTAAGATGTGATCGGTTCCATTGTCCAAGGCACCATGTGTCAAATTCAAATAATTCAAGTCATTTCGGAGTTCATTCAATGAAATCAGTAAATAATATTTAACTTACTGAATTATTATGCGTCATCTAAGACAAAACTCGATATTTAAGACGCATGACCAATGCTATTTTCGAGTTTCAAATCAAAAAACGGATTTGTTTTTGTGTAATTGCTGTTTTCCTATAGTAATATAAAAGTTATTCACGTTTGAATGAGACATCGAATGAAAGAAATCCACCGATGTTTAGTTATTGATTTGTTTTTTTTGGGGGGGGGGGGCACAAAATTCGAAACGAAGCTGACGGACAATAATTCGGCTCTCGCAGGGCGGGTTCATTTGAGCCAAAAAGCCCTTTTTAAGAGTTGCAGACGCTCTAGTGTAATTTTTTCTTCGTTAAAACAAAACACACAAATTGAGAATTCGTTATGGAAAAAAAATCAATTTGTTTTGAAGAGCACGGAGTGAGCGACTTTGTAACTACATGATATTCCTTTTACTTTTTTGGCGTTCGAAAGTTTTCTTCAGTTCACGATAGTTCATTTCCTGCACGAATGGGCCATTTCATGTCTAATGATGTTTCGTGAGCTTTTCTATTAAACAAATGACACCAAAACAATTAGTAAACTATTATTTATCAGGAGTTTTTCCAATACAATCATACAAACAGGTGCAAAAGTGGTGCCGGTACAAAACCTCAGTTCCCACATCGGGGGCAAGATTCACGTTCATTGTCGTGTCCTTCGTGAAATCACGATCTCTGCCAAACGACGAATCGGGAGAACAAAATGACATCAAAAACACGATCAAACTGTATACACACGGAATATGTGAACAATCCCAACCAATCGTTTGACGATTCGTCTCTTAAATCTTTAGAAATGTCGATCTCAATCTAAATATTTCTCTTTCTCATCTCTTCCTAACTGCAGCATTTAAAAAATATATATTTGCACTCTCTTTTTTCCCCACCACGTGATAATCTTCCTTTGCGTCATCTAGAAAGGCGCCTTTGAAATATTTCAGATTAACCGCACCTAAGAACTGTTATCATTGTCATTACAGTTACTATTCCACTCTTGTGCCGTTACACTGCCTTTGCTAACAACACCCAACCTTTATTCAATTGTGTCGTTCATTTTGTGCAGACAAAGTTTAAAACCCTGGGGTCAAGTCCACGGAGCTCGTAAGGTCACAAAGTCGCTTAGCACAATAAAGAGTTACCAGCGAAACTGTCATTTGAAGTGTATACTGTTTGTTTCTGGTATTCGGCTGTTTTACACTAAGCACGCAACTTGTTGTTTAGGAAGTCCCTCAGATTTACCGCACGAGAGATACATAGCGTTGAAAATGACTACTCTCTGACTGAGCGTCTTCTTTCACAGTCCTGCCCCGGTCTTGCACCTTTTGTCATTCCATGCAAAATGCGTGATTCTTGCCACAAGGCACCCGACTCCTGAACCAATACTGAAGGGTCATAATAATTCAAGTACACTTTTTATACAAAATAGATAAATTGTTACATTCTTCTTTTTTCAGAAAAACTTTCCCTTGAGCGAATAAATAAAGATGGCCGCCGTTATGTGACCAGTCTGTGCCACCGGGCCACGGGTTTGCTGGAAGAGATCATGTCGTTCCAATGCGCTAGCTCCTCGCCATGGGAGTCGGGGCCCAAGACCGCTCGTCCAACAACCTATCAGAAAGGAAGAGAGAGAACGATTGCTTTTTGTTAAATGTTATGGAAGATTAGACCTCAAGAGATTGTTTAAGTTGTAGACAATGTCTAGACAATGTCTTGACAATGTATTATTGATACATTACAGTCTGTTGTGTAACCATTCTTTCGAAGCATCAAAGCATTGTTTCATAGGAATGCGTCGAGTCCTAATTAGAGCAGTGTATCAGAACAATCAGAACATTCACAGGCCTTTTTACCATCATTAGTAAAACATGGTTTTGACTATGAATTCAATTCAGTTTTTCTTCAAAGCACGTGAAATTTTGTTTACTGAACAAACTGTGCAATGCACCTTTAAATGTAATCCAGCCATTAGCCAAAAACGAGGTGTGATGCAAAACACACACAAAAACCACTGTTACTTCCAGATAGGTTTGAAGTTTGAATCTGCAACAGTATGATGACTGGCTAGTCTCGCAACCAGTCCACTCTTATACCTACCTCGTTCTGGCCTATTCTGTTCTCGTGTATGACCTGGAACTCTAGTGTGAGATGCCGGAGTGACTCCTGCATCACGTTGAAGACTAACGCCTCGTTGAACACTGGGTGGACGGTGTTGTGTTTCGTCGACGTCTTCTTCTTCTTCATTCGCTTGGTGGAGCAAAATATCGACACTTTGATGTACGGATCTGTGGAGTAATTGGCAATGATGTCATATTATCTGGAATGTTAAGTATTTGGTTAATAGTTAATCCCGAAATGATCATCGCACCACGCAATGAAGTCGGATAGCCACTTACACGCTCATTATGTAGTTTTTGTGTCTTTGCGATTATATTGTACTAGGATAGATTCCAATATTTCATTTCCAGAAATCTTCCGACAACTTCATTATCAATACAGTGTAATGTGCGGTCAATGTACCAATTCGCAATTTATGTTTAGTCTAGTAAGATGGTTGGTTTTTATCCCAGCTGGTGTGGCTTTTAAAGCAGTCCATATGTTAAATTTTGATTCTTGTTGAAGAAAAACATTTCAGATAGAGTACTCATAGATGCAATCTGCAAAATAAGTCTTCTAACTTTCGAGCTATATTTTGCTTAATGCCAAAAGCAAGTTCGTTCACGGTCGTTTGTCTACGCGTGCAGTTTTACTCGAACACATGCCATTTAACTATATGACTTGGACCAGCCGACCGCGGTTTGTCGCATCGCTGGTTACCAATATCCACGGTCATGCACAGCAGGGAGCCAGGGACGAGTTGGATGAATGGTAAACATCTGACGACAAAATCATGACAGCTGATCATCGTCCGAACATAAGCACTCAGCGCGCAGGCGCAGCTTACGTCAGGATTCGACCACTAGCCAACCAATGGTCCTTGATCGAACTTGCCCCATTAAGCTATCATACCTGACGTTTTCCTATCTTCAAGTAGTTTGATGGCTCGGAGGTTCCTAGCTTTGAGGATAACCACGGTCAGCCGCTCGGCACTCGGTAGGTAGGCAAGGGAGAACATGATGTCGCCCAACTCCGGAGCCTCGTCACTTTGCTGAAAAATAGGAAGCACAAAATAATCTCAACAACAAAAAGTACCCGTGACCTCGTTTTATATCGTGGTATCTCGTGAGATCTGGGAGACAGACATCAACTATAGCTCTGGCGCTTCGTCACTTTGCTTAAATTATTGCCGTGCGCACGCGCAATTTAAATACTAATATGGTTTCTTCTGCACATATGTGGTTCTCTCAGCCATACAACTCTGAAGATATTGTGTCACCAAATATTAAAATAATCAAATTCGCACGATGCATGGTAAGAATTTAACATGCTTTTAGCAAAATCAGATTAGTCAATTATCATACAATTTCAAAGTTCGGTCAACCTAATTAAGTACTTGGTCGTGAATCTTCGTCAATACAGATTGAATTCGTCTCAGCTATTGCCGAATGACAGCATTCATAGATCAAAGTCGTTTAATATTAATCAATTTAAAACTGGTAGTAAGTCAAGTCTGATATGTGCTAAAGCATTTTCCTTGTACGTCCTGGAGCACAATTCAGTACATTCGTTCGCATGATGCTATCAGACCAATTAGATGTGCCTAACTCAGAAAGGATTTACCAAAAGAAAAGAGTACAGATTACAAAGAGCACCAAAACACATCTTTTAAGTTTAGAAGCGAATAAAACGAGCGTTATAATGAAAGAAGCAAATGGCAAAAACTACGACGGCACTTAGTAAACAATAAATGTATGAAAGAACAGGGATATACATTAGGCGTATGTTTTTTTTCTTATCAGCGGGCTGTAGGCCTATGCCATTAACAGAAGATGTCATGAAGTATGACGACATTGAACAAAATTAGGATTAAATTGTGTGACATCAGACGAATTTGTTTTCTGAATAACCACGGTTCAGCGTAGACTAGACGTAATCACATACTCCTGGACGAATATGTGTGCTCGTGGTTTTGATTCACTTGAGCGAAAAATTAAAATGTACAGAAAGGGACGAAATTAAACATTCGAAGCGAAATTAAACATTGGAAAACATTTGCAAATAGCCGGCAAAACATATATAAACCATCGAAAATGACCGTTGATGATTGTGATTGTGTGATTACAACATTTGTGGCTGCAACGTCTGCTGTACAGATCCTGATTATTGTAAATTTCAATTACATGGAAGTTTTCTTTTAAAATGCCAGGCTTAATGTCCATATGGGCTTTATGTCTCATACACTCGGACAGGGGGTGGTTTTTTTTTTCGACATTGTTGAATCAATTATATTTCTACGATTTATCAAATGTCATCAGGGAAAGTAAGGTCTGGGAACCAGACGCAGAAAACGTTTCTTAATTGATGCGACATATGTCACATATGTCGTGTCTGAAACGGCTATGGCTATGTGCTCATGTATTTATTGCCTAAACCCTCGAGCATAGCTTCTGCTTCTGCATCTGCTGAATACTATGCAAGCATCACCAGATGGTGGTTATAACGCACAGGTATAGACAGGACAAGCTATAGACAGGGCCCAATTTCACGGCGTTGCTTAACAGTTAGCAGAAAAGTTGAGTTTAGCATAGCAGAAAAATGTGCTAACCTTAAGCACTATTTCACGGCGAGTATGTGCTAACAGTCACGCGTGCACGGAGATTTCTATTGTTACGTCACTAAGTTAAGCAAATATTTCCTCTGAAGTAAGCGTGCCTTTTGCTGTGCTCACTGCTAACGGTCTCCATGAAATAGACGGAGGCTCTGTTAGCAGAAAATCGTGTGCTTATCAGCGCCGTGAAATTGGGCCCAGGACATTCGGGCACGGCCTAGGTCAACACAGGATGGTATAGCCCCCTCACCTGTCTGTGAGCCACCGCCACCGCCTTGATCTCCTTCCACACCTCCACCTTCTCCGTCAGGTCCACGTTGGTCAGGGCCAGCACGGCCGTGCCGATGCACTCGTCCCTGGAGAACTGGTCAAAGTCGAAGAGCTGGATGCGGGCCGTCTGGCGGTGGATGTCCGGCTCGGGGATCTCGAAGACGAAGCTCTCCTTGAACTCCGGGCACAGGGTCTTGCGGTGGACCTTGCTCTGCAGCATCTTGCTGGAGTGAGGCACCACGGAGATCTGGAGGGAGTGAGGGAGGGGAAAGATTGAGAAACAGGTGAAACGTAAACCTTGGATTCAATGAAGTATGGACGTATTTGGTGGTAGCCTAATCTGCATGTCTCAACTGAGGAAAAACTTATAGACATGTATGAGGTTGAGAGTCAACATGATTTTAAGCCTTGATACTCCACACTACGTAACCTTAATTCTTGCCTAGGTGAAAATTTATCTTTCTGCGTTTCCATCTGTCCCATTTAAAGTTACGAATTACTTTTCTTTATCATTTTATGGCTTAAATTGGCTTTTATTTCTATTAAGTATTTAAGTAAGTTTCAGGGAGTTGCCAAACAGACGAATATTCCTAGCAAAGAGAACTGTACACTTCTAATAGAAAAGGGTTACAGTGGCATATAGACCGACCGTGACCGAATTTTAGCCGGATAAACCAGGGTGTCTTCTCTGGAAATTCAAAATCCTTTGAAAACCACTTCTTTGTGAGCTGATGATCTTTGCCTGTAGCTACAACAGCTATTAATATGCATTAATGTCATATTAATTCAAAATAATGGTAATTATTACTAATGCTATAATAGGGCGACTTTCCCATTGTGCACAAACCTAAAATGTCACCTAACCCAGGTTTACTTTATCCTGCCTCCACGAATTTCGGTATAGGTATGTTTTGGACCACGAGGAATCGATCTAGATGGTTTGCGACAATAAATTCCTTGTCCTAAGGGTCGTTTTAACATTGGGGCGACACCAATCTGTCGCCTCAACAAGGCGTGTTGCCCTAATGCAGACGCGATTAGCAAAACATGTCGCCTATCTATATTATTCTGTAGTTGTAGAGGTTGTTAATTATGACTTTCTTTCCACTTTTCGAAAATGTGACACAAAATGTCACAAACACCACACCTCTTGCCTACTTATTTCTTCGCGCCAAATAAACGCTCCACGAAAGCTTCCCATGCTAGACTCAAAAATTATGCTCACCATAAAAATGAGACACTCTCTGGATAGATATTGAGATTAAACATACCGAAGAAATTGCAATTGCTTTTATGTGTCCTGATTACAATGTTTCCCCTTCATTAGCAACAGCGGCGGCGGAACGGGTTTGAAACGGGGGGGGGGGGGCATCACCAAAAAGGGGCACTTGCTCAGCATTTTTTTTTGCACATCCGTGCTGAAAGGTCGACACGTGTTTTTCACCTGACACTTGGCCTCCGTAAAATCAAATAGTTGGGGGGGGGGGGGGGGTACCATCTTCCTACATAGGGGGCGCTCTTCAAAACTGATGATTATATGCTAACTATGCATTATGTGCCCCTGTGCCCCTTTTCGGGGCGTATTGTATGGGTTGTTTGGGCTTTGTTTTCATATTCCTCGTTTATATCAAAACTATCCATACCATTATTGGGAATAGGTTACTTCTAAGAAATAGAAAGATAATTTAAGGGCATTATTTTTATCGAAGGGGCACTTTTATGCTCGAGGCGAGGGGGCACATTTATGGCCGCAAAAGGGGCACTTGGACAAATCTTGGGCAAATGCCCCCCAGCCCCCCCCCCCTCCCCCGGTTCCGCGGAAACTTTCCACTTCCTGTACACAACTGAGATTTGTCAATCCAACAAGCTGGACGCCCCATCTCTCGGTAATGCGCTGTTGTCGAAACAAAATATGCATATGCATTGCCATCCAAACGGGTCGCCAAGATTCGGTCTCGTCAAAAGGTGATGAATATCCGAGATACATTACGCAAAACTGTACGCCGCTGCTGGTAAAACTACACTCCTGAACTATCCACAGCATGCAATAGCAACAGGTGTTTTTTTGGTTTCACATTGCCAAGTTTAATCCATTTACGTGATTACGAGGGGAAACTGTAGACTTGCCGTAACACTCAGATTATGGTCTTGGCATTTTCAGAGGGCGGGGGAGTTTCACAAGTGAACCTATACACTGTTTCTATCTCCATTTCTGAATGATCAGCCCGAGGCGGCAATTTGTCAAAATAAATCAGCGAGCTAAGCTGATGATATGTCAGTGCAACAGTCTTGAATTCATGAGGAAGGTATATTTTAAGGCAAACATATTTTAAGGCAACATGTGAAAGTATGTTCTAATAATGGAGTCTACATATTAAATTTATGTTCTACAAAAGGTGTCTACAGATTTATAGAAAAAAAACTACTGTTCTCATCTGATTAATAAAGTTATTAAGTAATTTTTGATGCCAAGAAATTGGCCCTTACGCTTCACCAATGACTCGACTGTCGTCTGTCCGCCGGGCTCTACGATTGTTTGTTTGTTTGCTGGGTGCTTGGGGTGTTTGTTTGTTTGTTTGTTTACCTTGCAGTAGGGATCTGCCGTGCCACTGAACTCCCTCGGATGTAGTTCCCTAGCCTGGATCAGTCGTATCGTCAGCAGCCCCATCTCCGGGTTGTATTTGAGCGAGAAATTGATGATACCCAGGCTAGGCCCGGCCACGCCGGCATCGGCCGAGAGCTTGCGTCCCTAAGACAAAGACAGAATAGGGAATTTGTTCTTAAATCATTAGTGTGAAAATACCGGTATGTTCTGCTAGGCAGTACACGTTAATGCAAAGGGATGTAGTCGAGTCTATCATAAGTTCCTGCAAGTCCCTGTAAGTTCATACATACTGGAATTTGTATCCTTTGGAGTCATTTCTTTGTTCTCGTGTACTAAAGTTTTCGAGATTGAAAGTGTACTTTCAAATGCTTCTATATATTTTAACCTGGGCTGAAATTCGGACGTAATATCCCTTACATAAAATACTTCAATTTGCGACAAATCAACACACCTTGGAAATTCCTAGTTTTTGAGTAAAATCCATATATCTATTTCGTGATAACCTTGTGGTATTCAATTTGTTTGTTCCCTATTGTGCACATGTATCCACAGTGTACCGTGTACCAGATCACCACAAGTCCTGCAGTCCCAATTCAACTCACAAGCTATTTACATGAGCTTCGACAAAGGCATTCCTTTGTCACTGTTCATCCACTGTTTTTTTTTGTGACTGGACTTGTGAGTTATACTTGTGAATAGACTTGTGATGGATTTGTGATGAACTCGACTATATCCCTGTTAAAGTATGTTTTAATTTGAAGAAGTTTGATCTGACTATCTGTCCGTAAGCGTCTTTCATTTTACACAAATAAATGGTTTAATACGCACTGAACCTGTAAGAGAATACGCGCAAAATTGATTTTTTTTTTAAAGGCGCTTGTATCAGAAATGTTTCACCAAATCAACAGTTTATTTTACCAGCATCAAAGTTTGATGGGTTTTTTTTTTGCAGTAGTGCACGATCTTTAAGAGACACTTACTGTGTGGTTTTCTTTGTACATGTGTGCGGATGGGTCGAGCTGGGCGGGGTCGAGGCGAGCCATCATAGAGGGCGTCTTGGAGGTCGGGCTGAGGGCTCCTACTGATGGCTGCGGCTTCTCTAACGTAAACGAATCCCCCTGGAATCCAGGCGATGTGGCTGCCAAAGTAAAGAGTAGAATTGTGTCAGTTGTTGAAGTTTCTTTATCATCGCAGGCCTATAAATGACACAATTCGGGTTCCATTTGGCATAACCCTTTTCCGGGTCAAAAAAGAAACTTGTCCGGGTCAAAAAAGAAACTTGTCCGGGTCAAAAAAAAAAGTTTTCCGGGTGAAATGAAACTTTTTCCGCGTCAAAAATAAAACTTTTCCGTGTCAAAAATGAAACCTTTTCGGGTCAAAAATTAAACTTGTCCGGGTCAAAAATAAAACTTTTCCGGGTCAAAAAAGAAAGTTTTCATGGTCAAATGAAACTTTTTCGGGTCAAAAACGAAACTTGTCTACGTCAAACATACCACTTTTGCCGGGTCATTTTGACCCGAAGAAAAAGTGTTATGATTGAACCAGGAACTTTTTAGAGTGCATGTGTTGTATAGTTGAGACCTTTCTGGAGACCTAACACTGGGGCCTCATGATGACGGGAAGAGCATAATGTCCGAAACGTTGAGTTTCCTCCAGTACTTTTCAGAACCTCACAAACTCACACAAAAGATTTCTTGTCGCAAGGTGCAAACCGTACTTTTACTCTTATTGCCTACTTCACTACGCGAATCTTCAAATCTTATTTCATACAACATGTTTATAATGGAACGTAAGGTTTGAGTCCAATGTCAACAAGGAAAGACTCGTATTGCTTTGGCTTTAAACATACTTTGAACAACAGTAGGTTTGTTTTCATCATTTCAAATAATTTTGCTGAAGGGAACTTGGATCTCATAATGGACTTAAGTTGAATGTTTGCCTGAAAATTAATACATATAATATAAGTTTTCTCTCACACTTGTATATGGGCCCGAATTGCCTGCGATTTTGAGCACTGCATGGTGAAGACTACTACAATGTGGATAGTACAACATATGTGAAGGGAATATACCTCTGAAACGAGAGGCGGTTCAGGCTGTGATTTGGTTATTCTCAGAACCGCATGTGACGTAACTTTCTCTTAAAAAGTAGTGATGGGTATTTTAAGAGCCGTCTGTCTTTTTTGGCGAGGTTCAATCAATTCACAATGGCGAATCCGCGAACATCGGCTCAATTTGTCTATTCGCTGACAAAATCACGATCGGCATGCTGACAAAATTCGTAATCGAGAATTATGCGTTAAGCGCGGTTCATACTCTGCGCAAAAGCGAACGCGAACGCGAATTTGTGACGTCATGGCAAGTACTCGAGCTGCGAATTCGTAAAAGTTGAAGGTTTATAAAATAAAGGGTCCCAGAATTGAACAGGGTTTTGTAAATTTACATTTCTGGCATTTCAGAATTTGTATTTCTGTTGTTTCTGATGTAACACGAGGTTTAAAGAATGGTCTATTGAATAGAGTCATCATGACACCTCATGGCTTGGGATGTGGTGGTGAGGCAAATTAAACAAACGGCCGCAAGAGGGCGTTATTGGGGTGGATTGAACATGGCACGAAAGATGGCGTGACGATCTCACTGCGGGTTATCTGCAAGAAGGAATTTTCTCGACACTTTTAAACCAAGATGCGATCCTGATTTAAAAAAAAAATAGACAATGCACTGGAAATCACGGCATTTTCACCGAAGGGCTTCGGTTTCCATGAATAACAAATCCGATCCGATAAATAAATTGCACTTTAATGAAAGAAAACAAAAGGAGAAGAAAAAAAGTCGTGGATAAGATCGAAGTGGGAGGTGGAGAGGCGTCGAGCTGTCGCATCGCAGTGTCAACGCCCACGGACAAAGTCTGCTCCTTTTGCCCTCCGAGTGCAGGCGACAAGAAAATGATACTCTGATGAAGAATGTGGGGCTGCATCATGAGAACAGGAAACGGCGACAAAGGAGTTGCACACAGAAAAGGGTATTGGGAAAAAGAAGAAAGAACCGAGAAGACAAATGAGCCTGTGAAACTCAAACCTCGGAAAAGGAAGCCATAAGGGGGAACTGCAAACTTTGAACACTTGGCTCGGATTACAAGGGACTCTTATCGGGTTCAATTTTTCAATCGGATTTGGCCACGAGTGACCCACGAGTGAAACTGCATCCTTGTAATTATACAGATGTTTCAAAGGCCGGCGCAAGGTTGATGACACTTTGGAGGCGCTGAGAGATGGGGCGTCCAGCTTGTTGGATTGACAAATCTCAGTTGTGTACAGGAAGTGGAAAGTTTCCGAGGAAACACCAACAATGCGAGGGAAAGGTTTGGACTACTTTGGGGACATTGAATTGCGAGAAAGAGGATGGATGGAAGAAAGAACATGAGGAAATTTCGGTTTGTTTTGCCTTTCTTGGTTGACGGGGAAGCGAGAGTGCAATACACCTATTGATGATGGGTCCCTGTTGCAAGCCTGTCATTTAGAGGCATTAGGAAGTGAGGTATTGCTGAACAGGTGGGTTGAATGCGATATCGAGGCAAGAGTATCCATATCAGCAAACAGGATAAATAGGGGAAAAGGGAGAGACGACACCGATGAAGAAACGAGTCTTTGGGGAGGCAATTTATTGATGCATGGGAGTAGAGCATAAAGAACATCTCCTCTCTAGAGGTGAGAAAAGGTTTTCCATTTGGTGCAAAGCCTCTCGAAACGGACTCCTTAGCGGAAATGGTATATTTAGATCAGATATATCCGTGCTTTCCCGAAAGAAAGATCACTCAATGGATAAATCAATCCTAATAACAAGAACAAATTAAAAACGGCAAAAACGGAAATGGAGCTGGTTTGGGTTTATGGAGAAAACAAACCACCTCGTGTCTCGAATATTTTCATTGAACGGTACTTAGGCCTAGTCATATGCACATACCACGATTCCAATACAGAATAGACCACCTGTACTGAACGCCCTCACTGAGCTCAGGTATGAGTGTCTACTCGTGGCCTATCGTAGAGGAACAAAGACCTGTCCTCAGTGAGGGCGCTCTACGCAAGGCGTCTATTGTTCCCTGGCAAGAAGCTGTTGTATACCTTTTGGAATGGTGAAACTGTAGTTGCTATTGAGGACGACTGGGGAGACGGGTGGGCCAGGCGACACATTCGGGTCGGATGCTTTTAACCGGCTCCTGAAAGACCAAACGGAACGGAAGATAAAGCATTCAATGACGGTAAGACGGGTTTTTTTATTACTTCAATTCATAACAAAGGAATTGGGGTCCTTGGAACAAACATCAACAGGAACAATTGAAGCTCGCAAGTCGGTGTTTAGAAATCTCAGTACCCCGATAGTGAATGTAAGATTTCAGTGGAATCAAAGGGGAACAAACGTAGGGAGGTCAAGGGCGGATCCAGAACACCTTTGGTCCAAAAAGTGTGTCCAAAAAATTACAGCGAAATTAGATGGTCTCTGGTGCGATCTGAGGCAATTTCTGACCCCTTTAAGCAATTTTTTGAGGAAAAGATGGTGGTGTACTCATTGCCTGTCTTTACTTCATTGCGAGGTCGTCTTTAAAAAAAAATGGATTCGTGGGTTTTTTGGGGGTTTTTTTGGGGGGAGGCATGGCCCCCTTTGCCCCCCCCCCCCCGGATTCGCCCTTGAGGGAGGTAATAGTCTAAGACAGTGGTACCATATAACTACATGTACCTACACAGATGTGTGATAAACTTACCCGTTCCTTTGACCCAATCGTCTGGGCGCGGCCTTCTTGAGTCCAAGGGTGATCGAGTCTTGTCCCCCGACTTGCACCCTGCTGAGAAAGTCATTGTAGCGCTCGTCCTTAGCGGGGTCTGACTTGAATCGACAAAAGATGTAGGCTGCTATGACGATGACAATACACAGAACCACGCCCAGGGCCACGACCACGCCCAACAGATACACCTGCATGATGTCTTAAGTTCCTGTTGGGAAATAATATGATAACTGATTTCTAAATTGTATGTGGGATGAACTTCTTTTATTAAACGAAGGGTAATCTCCGATTGGAATACACTGTGCTATACTTATACACTCCCAAGTTAAAGCCAGAACTGTATCAGCGTTCAATAAATAAGAGTGTCAGGAACTCGCCTCGTGGGAGAGGGAATACTCGCAAGCATTTTGCGGGTACTCGCAGCTAGCAGTGGACGCTCGCAGTTGCTCGCCGGGGTTTGGACATATTCGAAGATTTGCGAGTTCCGCAGGTACTCGCAGGGTACTTGGAAGGAACTCGCAAGGTCGCTCGCGCTTTATTAAACTTAAGGGCGACGGGAAAACGTCTGGGGCTAATTTTTTTTTTTTGGGGGGGGGGGTGTCAAGAGTAATATGGCCTAACGTGCGATGGTAACTTCATTGTTCTATAGGAGGGTCAAGTTGTGACGACAGGTTGTTTAATTATATTACAATGGTTAATTCGGGTTCGAAGCTTGACATAACACACTGGTTGCTTTGGGAAAAGGGTATCGAGTAGCCGTGAGGGGATATTTGATGCTTCGTTAAAGATCGGCGATGATTTTGATTAGGTTAGGTAAGACTGTTTTGACAAGTGCAGTCTTCCGCCTGAACGGGCGGTTTGTAATCGTTACACCGATTTGAATGGGGGTGGACCAGTGAAGGTGCAACACAAACAGTTTGCCCACATACACTCCATGCTGGAACTTTTGAAGGCAACTAAGATTTCTCCCCGGTAAGCCAGACGTCACAAACTCAAAACAGTGGGGTAAGTGGTTACGGGGAGGGGGTTGCTCGGGCTCAACACAGTCTAACTGTTGCAGGTGTTGTTCATAGGGAACGTACTTGCACACTATCGGGCGATAGATGGCGCTCGTCGTTTAGCATATTTGCCCACAGACACACTATTTATCCGACGATTCGGCGATTTTGCCCACAAAAACGATTAAGGGAGTCCGTTCCTCCACCCAGCATCCAAACTCACACACTCCATCTAGCGACGCCTGTGAGCACCATAAACTTTAGAGTTTAGGAAAATGTCCGTCAACCCAAACATCAGTAAAGTCTCTCAGAGGCTGGTGCCTCGTGACCAAAATCGCAAAAAAAGTCATCGTGATGTCAGGAAACGCAACAAAATATGTTTGTATGCGGTCGAGAGACCCAAATTAATGATGTAAAGGGAAGAGTGGAATGAAAATCAGAAGCGCCACTGAGGCAGCTTCATGCATCCCGTAGTTAACTCAACAAGATGAGAACCGCTCAGCGTCTGCGCTCAGACGTCCAAACACGACAATGATGCACGTCGGCCAATTGAACGACCCAAATATTCCAAACAAACCTCCTGAATTACGACTGAGCTTTTTAACCTGAATGCCAGATGAGATTGAATGAATTCACGATGAACTCAATGATGGGCCTTTATGCGAGGAGCGCGTACTTAGCGGTCATTATCGTCTGGCCGAGCGCCGCAAATGACGGCATAGTCCGATGGTAAATGGCCCGGTACTTAACGACGCCAATCCGGGTTAAAAACCGAACACTTGAACTCGAGGAGGATTGCGTGATTTCGTACTCTTGTGATCAAATTTCATTGAAACATACAGCTTCAGCATAAGCCTTCATTCAAGGCTCTGGTTATTATGTTCATTTTGGTTTATTCTTGAATTCCGAAGAAATTATATACCAGTCCTTATCCAGAGCTTATCTGGAAACAGTACCCTGCTTCAAGAGAGAGTTTTGTATACCTGTCACTTTCGGCTAAGATTCATACACAAAAATCCATCTTGATATCGTGTTCCCAGACCCCATCTATTCAAACAGCAACGACAACACCTCTACGAATGAGTCCCTTCGATATTGAAATCATTCGTCGAGCTTTCATACTATCTTGCATTCATTTCGTGATTGCCAGAATCACGCAAAGACGCTTTTATTTCCCCATTAATTGAAAGTCATTCAGCACTGCATTATCGATCGACATTATATATTTTTTACTGTATCTAATCAATCGTCTACTCTTAATCGTATCCAATCTAAAGTGATATTGCAACGATAGCCTCGATTTCGTTTCCGCCGTCAACGAGGAATGGTTCAAAGAGAGGCAGCCATGCATACCTTGACTCGGTTCATTGATAGATGCTTATTTAAGTGTTTACTGGCCTTCATTATGAGGACGTGAAAGAGTCATTTATTGCAAGAGTGGCCTCGCTTTTGATTCAATATGGCAGCTCCGTATTAAAGTGGCACATCGTCCTGAAATTTTTATGTTTAAGATTGCTTGTCCTATTTCAAAGGTCTAGTTGTAAGGAAACTAACCTGACGTCGCACTATTCCTGAGAAAAGACGGGGAAAAAACGATTGTTTACTTCTGACGCGGCGGACATTTTGTGGCATACGCATACGTATTTCCAGCCGTGAATATATAAGTCTCCTTCTCTTGAACGTTGCCCCAGCTCCTCTCAGACATTTCAATTTACGGTACACGTCGTGTGTTGTGTACAAGTATACATGTAGACACAGCGCCAATATACATGTTGTTTCACGCACGTCCGCAAGTATGCGATGCACCGGTGGAACATGTGCGACAGGATTAACGACTAGCACCCAAACAGATGATTTTTGAGAGTCAAAATGTTGACCCCGATATTCGTTCTCGTAAGAATAACACCAAAACGGTCACCCTTAAAGGGTGATTGTGAGGACGTTTATTTATGCTACTTTTAAATGCTCTTTCCAATTAATATAATTTCGTTTGGAGTCCGATTGGGCGCTTTCCAGGACGCAATGTCCCTTTAAGTTCGCACACTGTACGAAAGGAATCAGGTCAGCTCTTTAACTAGTAGTACAAACAAAATGCTTCAAAAAAGCAATCTTTTTCTCCATTGCGAAATTCTAGCGAAGAGAGCACTGTTAATAATTAAGAACGTTCTCTCAAACATTTTAACAATTCATCGCAATTACTGAAGCATGTTTAATGGCTATTAATTTGTTCTCCATAATTAATTATTTCTTTAAAAAAAAACCAGCTGAACCCCCCTCCCCCCTGCAAACGTCTTGTTTTAAATATTTATTGTTTCTATATATCGGATTTAGTTTGAATCTATTCATGGCAATTCTAGTTAACTTTTCATACTATGAACGGTAAAACTGTCCTTGAATTTGACATCCGAGAAAAAGACATGTATAGCAAGCTTGGGTTGTATTTATTCTAGGGCTGTTTGTGCTGTTCGTCGTCATGACAATTTCTCCTTTTTTATGATAATGAAATTGAACTGATTGTCCTTTGCTGAGTGCGTTGTACGTGTCTCGTATATCGAAGTCCTTTTCTGATCAACATAAATATATGTTGGTTGTAATTGCATGATATTGTTGAAAAATGACATCTCAAAGCCGTACGTTCAACGAGATATTATTAAATCAATGCCCCCAACAATGTTCAGCCAATTATAGAGTTGAGTGTTCCTCTGTTCCGATGTTGTTAGTTGTGCTGTCCGAAACACCGGATTGTATCGAAACATATTTTTTGTGTTAAACTTCATAACGATATGTTAATTAATCATGTTGAGTATTAAATGTTTTATGATGCAATCCTCTTTAACTTTACGTTCAAATTTTTCCATTCCTATTTTAATATTTTTTTCTGGTCCTTTTGGTTTGCATGCTGGTAAGAATTTGCAAATTCATCAGCAAAATCGTGATGTAATTAAAGGCAGAGGCTTCCGTATTACAGCTGTTTCAGCTCCAACAGGCATAATTGTTAGATTTTTGCCGTGGTGAACTTTATGTTTTTTATGTATCATTTTTTTAATCAGTACATTGCAGTCAGTTACTTATATTAGTAAACGTTAATGTGCCACACTAAAATGATAGTTTCAATGAGCTATATTGCATAATATGTATACTAAAATTTATGCTGTAGAGCAGTGACGCAACTATCAGTACATTACAGTCAGTTACTTTAACGTTAATGTGCCACACTGAAATGATAGTTTCAATGACCCATATTACATAATATGTATACTAAAATCTCTAAGCTGTAAAGTAGCGACGTAACTAGGGTTATACTTCTGGGGGGCACCTGCATGGAGTGCATAAATGTTATATATTTCTGTTCAATTCAAGATTTAAACGGGGGCGGGGGCACCCGGGGGGCCAAGTTGGGGGCGTTCCCCCTCCCTCGTAGTTACGCCACTTCTGTAGTGTGTGCTCAAGCTTGAATTGACATCGTTGAATTATAAGTAGCCAGACACGTGTGTCGTTATTTTCAAACAACATTAATGAATGGAAATTTGCCTACAAGGGGTTTCAAAGAAATTTCATTCCATGGATCCTTTCACGAAAACCATGACGCAGGTCATGCAGGAGCGTGAGTCCCAGTGAAAGTTTTAAATATATGGACATTTTTAGCCTTTTTCCCAGTCTTAACATGAATTGTAGGTCTAAATCCCCCTTCATATTTCAAATGTACTTATCAGAAAGGTACGTTGCCCTTTTTTTCCGTATCAGTGACACCAAGCTAACGAAATGACAGTTTCGTATGCCTGGGCTTCACCTCGACCGCCGGTGTTCAATTAACAACAGGCGATATACCAAACAGCCCTGAACCTGCAAACAGGTGATAATATTTCATGTGGTTCCCTCGGCAACGGCATCATTTGATCACAGGCCTGCCAACATTACAAGTGACTTGGGAGTCAACATGGACCGTTGGAATCACGGTCAATTTGCTGTGCTCCACGGTCTGGGGTTGAGGTTTCATGTTGTTGGCACGGCAACGTCGAGTCAAGATGGCGGCTTACCTGTGAGATATTCGCACAATGAATTTCGGGCAGGCTCAGTTCACTTTGAAATCAAAACTTTACTGATCAATGAAAATGCGAGTTAGTAACTATATCAGTACTGCTTGCAGTAACAGAAGGATAGGCCTATAACATTTTCACACAAAATGGACGCATAACCAATTTATCT